TAAAAGGGAGAGAGGTTTTTCCCAAATCCGGTGCAGAGCGCAGAGGTAGGAGGTAAAATGGAGAGAGGTTTTTCCCAAATGGGCTTTTTTTTTTTTTAAATGGCTGTGAAAGGGTGCGTACATGTACTTATCCTAGTCTCTTGGGAGCTGCTCTTCACTGATTCAGAGTGTCCAAGTAGAATCTCTGCTGCCAGGTCTCTCTCGATGTGGAGACTGCTTCTTGAGCGCGCGCACAGCACAGCTGTTTGCCTGCTTCATCGCGGCCCAGCGTGGCTGTGTCTCTGCAGTATCGCCGCCGTGGCTCTAGCACTCCTCACCTCTTCCAAATAGTCTTCCTCTCCGGTATGACTCAGATGGATTTCTTAACCTTGCCTTGTTCAGGGCTGCCAGATGTTCACACAGAATCAAATCACTTGTTTTTCCAGGTCTTTGTTGTAAGAGGGATATAGGAAGCGTGGAACTAGTCTGCCATGTTGACCACGCCTCTCGCATTTCCAGTATTTTTAACCCTTCATTTTCTTTTCTTTTTTTCTCTTTATTTCCAGGTTGGAGGCACAAATTGTCTGTCAGAGTCAGTGGAAAAAATGTCACTCAGGGAAGCATATTTCTCCATGTAGGTGGAACGATTGGGAAAATGGGGGAGTTGGAGATAACCAGGTAGGCCTAAGAGTGAGGAGCTGGCAGCTAACACAGTGCAGGTGCTCAGTAAACACTCAGTTAGAAGGCTTATTAAGCACCTTGGCCTTCTCTTTTCCTGCAATACCACAGGCTTCTGTGCGATGTTTGACTTTTCATTTTTCCAGTTTTCCAGATATAAAGTAGAAACCCTAATACCTATTTTCTTGACAGTTCCAACTAGAAACTGAAAATGGTAGGAAATGGAGATGTGAAAATACAGATCTAGATAATGAAGCAAGTGGAAAAAATTAACAATGGGGTACACAAGATCTATTTTTAATCCAGTCCATTTAATATTATGCAAACTAGAGCATGTATCTTTACTTGCATAGGTCACAGCTTATGTATGAAATTTTTAAAATGTATATCAATTGCTAAATTTCTAGTAAAAGCTCTATAAGTTGTACCCACAGAACTAAGACATATGTTGGCACAGTCAATCTTAGAAATAATTCAGTACAGACATTCACTGTGTGTCTTTGGCTAAATTTTCCTTTTATCTTGTGTTTTCCTTAAGTTTTATTTGATCAACCTTACCATGTTTGTACTTCACTTCTGTTGTTTAACTCTGTAATTCATTTCAGAATTAACATTACACACACTAACTAGATGCTACCATTTGCTAACAGATGGATGGATTAGATGTTTTGCTTCTATGATTTCCATTATCTTCAATAATGAGTGGAGGCACGAAAAGCAGAGATTTTGTGGTTGTTTTGTCAGCTGTGGGATGCATCGGTTTAATCACTCTGGCAGAGTTTCTGCACGTCTCTTAGTGTAACTGGTGTTAAGTGTGGATTCTGTCAGTGATTTTCGGCATCCTAGATTGATGCACAGGCTCCAGCCCACCTTCCCAGAGGTGTTTCATTCCTCTTCAACTTAGCCAGGTTACACCGTTTGCACTCCCCAGCATTAAATAGATCCCACTCTTCCCTCCCTTCCTGATTTTGCCCATGCTGTTCTTTTGTTCCAAATACCCTTCCCTGACTTAACATATCTCATTTCTGCCTGTTCTTCATGGTTCCATGAAGCCACCCGTCTGGTAACAGTTTAACACAAGAGTGTGCCTATGGCTTTGTGGCTCACAGGATACTGCATAAAGCTGTTTGTTCCATTCACAAAGGCACCTGGCCTGGGGGCAGATGGGGAAGAATATTCAATGCTTGCCCCTTTTAAGATTTGCGGGAGCATTCTGACATTTCCGTACTTGTTTTAGCAGTGTCTAAACAAACTGTTTGTAACCTTGCATAGTTACCCAGTCCTCTTTTAAGAATAATTAAACCTTTAAGGTTCCCAGCAGATGTCTTGATATCCTCTTCTTCAGTTAAGCTGTAGAGTCTGGCTTCGCCATAGATTATGTATTAGTTGTTTGGACTTCTAGTGACACTTTAATGAAGGGCTGCATTGTATGGGCACTGAGTGAAGGCAGTTCGTGGAGCGACAGAGAGATTACCCTTAAGAACTCGAAAGTAGAGTTGCCTTCTGATAATTAAATCAATAAATTCTACATTGTCATGGAATAAAACAAGCCCTAGGAATACCAACATTCATGCATTTATTCAGCAAACACTTAAGTGCCTCCAGTGTGGCAGAAGGACCCCTGCTGGTGCAGTGATTAAAGCATTTGGCTGCTAACCAAAAAGGCTGGAGGTTCAAACCCACCAGCCGCCCCTCGGGAGAAAGATGTGGCAGTCTGCTTCCATAAAAAGTCCAAAAACCAAACCAAATCCGTTGCCATCAAATGGTTTCTGACTCATAGGGTAGTTCTACTCTGTCCTACAGGGTCGCTTTGAGTTGAAATCGACTTGAACACAGTGGGTTTGATGTTTTGGTTTTGTGTGCAAGGAACTCTTCTGATTGCTGGGATGCAGACACAGTTCCTATTTTCATGTAGCTTATATTCTAGTTAGAGGAGACAGACAATAAATTAGCAAATGAATAAGGAAATAGCAGATAGTGATAAGTATTATGAGGAAAATAAGGCAAGGTGATTAATAGAGATCAACGTGGGAACTAGTTTAGATTGGACCATAGCTTAATCAGTTACTAACTTCAGCTTAATTTATTTTACTGACACAACCAAAAAAGGGACTGTATCATCAGAAGGAGGATGGTTATCAGTAGACAGAGAAAATGAGGAGTCAGGTAGCCCTTTTGGAGGTAAGAGATGTTGATTTGGATGACATGAGCAGTCTGGGCCATGTTGTTGTTGTTGTGTGCCTTCAGAGAAGGATTTTTGCCTCGTGGGGAGGGAAAGATTCATCTGGTCTCATTTTGGACTGGGTGGAACATGCCCTAAAATAATCCACCTCTGTCTGCACTGTTGCCATGCTCACCAAAACACCTTCTGATCACTAGTTTGGTTACCCATGTTCCTTTCTATGGATAAAGAAGGTGCCAGGGATCAGGCAGGAGAACAGTCGGGTTAATAAAAAGGAAGCATTTCCCCATTATGAACTGATAAACAGGCTTCTGGTTTATAGATTAGTCTTCTGTGAATTTCATCCATCACTGACAATTTGATCATTTCCCAGTGTCGATAAAATCTGTTTTCTGACACCACAAAGCCAAGACCAGCTCTTTCATGGTGGAAAACTCATCAAGATAATGCCTCTCTAGGCATTATCTGGAAGTCAGCTAGCGAAGCTTCTTATTCATCTCACCCTTCTCTCAAGCTTCAGAACCATGCTCTTCTGAGATATTGATCAGTGTGAATGGAAAGAATACATTCCATGGTACACACAGATGTTTTCTTTCACGTCACATTGTGAATGCTCAGTGCAAGCTTATGAATCTTATTCTTCTGTTTACAGTAGAAAACTTAAACCAGGCATGACTTACACAAAATTAATTGATACGGATGTGAATGTTGGAAATATTACGAGTATTGAGTTCATTTGGAAGGAACATTCATTTGGACATTCTCAGAATAAGTTGGGAGCAAAAATGGTGATAGATATATCTGGAAAATATGGATAAAAGTAAGTATGACTTTTTCCTTTGCATTTCCAAGCATAGTTTAAATTTTATAAATAGTATTTAAAATCTATACATAATTTAAAATTTGCAACTAGTATAAAAATTTGTATATCTTGAAATTTTGTAGTTAAGGAGTGATTAAGAAATTAATACT